AACCAGGCTATTTGTTTCCCCCTGCGTCTTTATGCTAAGCTAGGCTAACCATAACCTTACTATAGCTCTGCACTGCATAGACACAGCATATGTCATCATCTGATTTCATCTAATTACAGACGTATTGATTTTAACTTACAGTACATGTCGATCAATGAGTAACTAGAAATGTCACAGATATGGTTCGTGGTCATTTAGAAACAGTCTCTCTGTAGCATTAGCAATTATTTTTACACCTCAAAATGTCCGGCTCATGACATACCTGTGCTTTAATAACCTAATTTTAAGGGACCATTGTCAGAAATGTTTTGCAAATCCATTAGACCTTATTTTAACTCGCATATATCTCTTACGGCTTTAAAGTACTATATCAACAACATGCTGATTTTAACCAAATGGTAACAGGCTAGCTGACTTTGTGACCCTCACAGAAAACGCCTGTACCATGTTTAAAGACAAACACAGACACAAAACAACAAGTGCGTGTGTGAAGGAATGGAAGCACTAATATCTTAAACTGAATTACTGCAGTTGACCTTTTGCTAAGCCCCTTTGTGATGATCTATCAAGCTGTCAGAGTAAGCATGGAGCCCACACTGTAACTAACTGCACTCCCTGAAGAAATATGACAACATTTTTTGGACAGAAGGGTCAATAATCTGTTTGAAGGATATATCCAGGATGTCAAACTGACTCAGTAGCAACAACAGGTTAAAAAGACAAAGATAATCAGAAGCTAAAGCCGAATTATAGGCTACAGATCACAGTGTAAAAGTGAACCACCACATCACTGCTGATCGCCACAGAAGACAATGAATATAAAGGGAAACTTCGCTGATAAAAGCTCCACTATGATTAGCCAGTCTACTTTTGAGGTGCAGGACTTAGCAAAGGGGGAATAATTTGAGGCACATTTGAGAGCTTTGTCTTTCTTTGATAAAAGGACTTATGAAAATATTATGTTTATTTTGTAGTCAAAAAAGTACCTTAGTATCAAAAATATTTGGGGCTGCCCAATGTGACGTCTTTAAATGTCTTGTTTTTGTTCAACAAAAAGTCCAAAAAATATTTTCTTTTCATTGATATGACAAATGTATTTTTCAACTATTTTTGGTTAAAAATGACTGAACTCTAATTATCTCTGTCTGTGAACTAATCATTTCAGCTTAAAACATTTTTAAACAACAAAAATAACATCACAGAGAGCATCTTTAATTAATCTGGTGACAGTAACTAGCAATTTCTACCTGACTAACACAACTTTTTGCTTTCTCAGAAGAGCACTAAGGCCCTAAAATCAGCATTAATGTGATGAATCGGCACAACACGGGTAAGTTTCATCAGCTGTAGAAATATCTATGCTTATCACAGCGATGAGGCGACATTTAAAACAGATTAACATGTGGTTCTCATTATATTCAGGATTTTGACATACTTTTAGACTGAAAGCCAGCTGCTGTGTTAGCAGGGTGAAAACAACAGAGAGAAGCAGCCTGGTGTGGTTGCTTTGGGTGGAGGGGGTCTGACTCTAAAGCACTTAACCCCACTTATGTGCAGCCTTCACCAGGATACATCGAAAACAACAACACTGGACAGCACACATTGAGCTTTAAGCCTCCGTGACTTGTGTGTCTGACATCTCCCCTTTCCATCTAATCCACCTGACCACATCACAAGCTCTTCACAAACACACACTGACGGATGTAGGTGACCCAAAAATAAGATTTAGGCCGGCAGTGATCATCGATTAACCAGGGTGTCAGTCACACCGTCTGACAGGACCGAGGGCGGGGACGAAAACTCACTTCAAACACCCTTTTAGGGTGACGGCGTGAATCTGTGTGATGCAAAGTCACAGCGGGATTCATCCGATCAGACTCATATTTGGAGAAGAGAAGATAGATTAAAGACGAGAAGAAGAAGTGTGTGGGCTGATATCTGGCTGCAGAGTCCTTTTCATTTTCCTCACAGACAATGTTATATTACTCATCTTTGACACTGAGGTTGAGGCATATTTCAAATAAATAATTAACGATGTATTATAGACATCGTTAATGTGGAAAAACTCGTTACTGGGGCTGGGTATCATCTAAGAAAAAAATCAATAAGTGCTAAAATTATTTTTACAGGGCCCTTAACGAATTATTATTTTCATTATCAATTAACCCGCCAATCATTTTCTCCATTACTCGATTAACAATTTCATCTATAAAATGTCAGAAGGCAGTGAAAAAGCCCCGTTGAAATATTCCACAGCACAAGCTGACATCCGCCATACAGTTCAAACCCTAAATCACTTAATTTACTTTACATTAAAACCAAGAAAAGAAGCCAATTCTCACATCTGAGAACCTAGAACCATCAAATGTTTGTCATTTTTGTTGGGAAATGACCTAAAAGAGTAATCAAGTTTTTTTTTAAATAGACTAATTGATTAATCAACTGAGTGTTACAGCTCTACCTTTTATGATACTTTACTTGAAGAAACAAAGAATTTTTGTCCAAATCCCTTTTTAAATGTAAAAAAGGAAGCCAAAGTTCTCACATTTTAAATGTTGCAAAAACACAACAAAATAGGGATAAATAAAATACAGTGTTCACTACTAGTTTAACAGCTTTTGATTTTCTTTTCGATTAATCATTCAGTGCATAAAAGTCTTACAATCATAAAAAAATGTCAGGTACTATAAACCCAAGTTGACATTTTCAAAGAGATTATTTTGTTTGTCCCAAAAATCTCCAACTGACTGTCACATGGGACAAAGAAAAACAGCAAAGTCTCACAGGTGAGACTCCGGAGACAGGTAATGTTCGATATTTTTACTTGAAAAATTACCTTAACAATTATTCATCATCAAAATAGTTGCTTTTGCAGTGGCATGGTAGTCCAGTATGCATATCAAATAATGCCACTCTCTTCTGAAAGTTCCTGTCTGCATCTTCTGTATATTGAATAAAGATAATAATGCTGAAAAGCATAGCTAAAAGGGGAGTTTATGACTCAGCACAGGGCCCCTTACATCTCATGTCAACACTTTTTGGTCACATTTAACTTGATATCCTCAGATTTAGCACATAATATGGAAAGACAATGAAAGGTAATATGTCATCATAAAAATGTCCAATTAACTCAACTCAGATATTTAAGAAGAGTTACTTTTAAAAAGGGAAAAGAAGTGTGTATTACAGTGATAACGGTTAATGGAGGAGAGGAAATGTGTTTAAAAATGAAATTCAGTCGGTTAATTATCCTCAAAGTGTGAGAAAACATGAATGAATTCATGTCTTTTGTTCAGACTTGTGACTGCGATGCGTTAACTGAAGCTCATAGTTTATCCACCTCCATCAGTGGGCCTTGCCAAGCAGCCCCACCCTGCCTCTCTGCTGCCTGCTTCCCATGCCTGGAAGAGGCAAGACAGGCCTGTTTACCTATCTCCCACATCCCCATAAACAACAATAACAACAATAGCATCTGCTCGGTATACACATTTTCTGATATTAAATCACAAAAAAACGCCACTTGCAGAGCGCTCAGACGTGTGACAGCAGCTTAAAGGGGACACAAGGAGGCTCACAGGCCTCACAGGCTACATTGTTTTTCCAGATTTAGGGTGTTGGTTTGGGTGGAGATGAAGGGGGGTGGATTGACTGAAACCAGGCCGACAACAGAGCAAAAAATACAACACTGATTCAAGGCGTTGAAGTTATTGTGGTAGTAATATAGAAAAGCTGGGGTAGCCGACAGGGAGTGGACGCAGAGCAGATTCCTTTGTTGTGACTAATCTCTGGGTTACAGCTTTGGTACACCGTGCTCTGCTAACCGCCGCGTGCTTCCATTATCGGACAGGTTCTTACCCCAACGTGCTGCTTTTTTACTTACTTAATTCATCCGACTTGATTTAAAAGTGACATGTCACATAGCCTCACATATAGTTTAATGCAAATCCCCGGATTTCAAATGAATCGTGTCATTAGGTTAAGTTAGCCTACTGGAGTCAACCTGACACCGGTGTGGAGAAGCCTTACATCATCGGGCGTGTTTGCCCTGCCTTTGAGCTTTGTATTACAGGGAATGGATACCCGGGTATCTGATACCCTTGCAGCACTCTTATTTTCTTTGTTGTTTGTGCCTAAAGTGACAAAAATCAATTAAAACGCCGTGTCCGATAATGGAACTTGGTGTTAGCCACCGCGGTCACGCAGCGGGTAGAGGCACAGAGCAGATGGGCGCTGCTGAGTCTGACACAATAATGACAAATATAACGGTGGAATAAATAAAATACATCCCCCTAAAAAAAATGTTTAATAAAAGCAGGGCTCGTGCTAGATTGAAGGAGCGAGTTGTTAACACACAATTGAAGGCTAAAATGGTGCAATATTGCCACCTCATCCAGGCAACAGTTCACATTATGCTTCCTGCCGTTTATTTGTCAAAACAGGTGGGCCGCATTCCGACAACACAGCAAAAACCGGGCTAACGTGTTAGCTTAATCACCGGGGAACTGTGCAAAAAACACCAAACATAGCGTATATTAAAAAAGGACACACACACGTTTAGCTAAAATAAATGTTTTCTCCATTTCACCGGACATCCAACTGTCAAACAGCAGGTTAGCTTAATGATGAATCCGCTCCCCTCAGGAGTAGCATCACTAGCTAACCGGCTAGCCTCACCGTGACGGTACACAAATGTAACAAATCTGGATTAAATTACCACATTTTAAAATTATTCACTGCTGAATAAAAGTTGGTGAAATAAATAAATGTAACGCTTCACCCCCACTTATTAATCTCCATGTCGGCGTCTTGACAAGCACACAATGCTAACCTTGTTCAGATGCAACGTTAACGTTACAGAAAGATGGAAAACGATCGTTAAACCACCGTTTAACTAAATTTAACGCATAAATATGAATTAAATGTTTTTGTTAGTCTGTTTAAATGACTAAAAGTTAGCCCTTATGTTCATTTAAAAGCAGTTTTCCTGTTCAGACACTCACAAGATGCTGGAGCCGGTGGTTCCTCTGTCACCGCAGGTTGCTCTGCTGTCTCTGCGGGGGCTGGGGCTGCTTTCCGGGGTTCAGCCGTTGGGAGGGCGTCGCTCGCCGGGGCAGGTTCGGGCTCGGGGGCAGCCTGTGGCTCCGGTACGATCTTCGTGCTCTCGGGCTCAGCTTTGGGGGCGACAACTTCAGGCTCCTCGGTGGTTAAAGAAGGGGTGTCAGGAACAAAAGAAAAGCTGGTGGAGTCGGGCTCCGGTTCGGGTTCTTTTACCTCTGGCACCGGTTCCGGTTCCGTTACGTGGACAGGCTCTGGTAACGTTACTGGCTCCTCTGGAAGCGCGAGGGAGTCGTCTGTGAAGCCGCGTGGCGCACTGTCTTCAGCTAAGTGGCGGTCCAAGGCGTCCTGAGCCCCGCCGACCAAGTCCACAATATCATCCATGCTGAAGAGGTCCGGTTTGGGCTTGTCCTGCTCGGAGTCCGGCTCGGGCTGGTAGTGGTGCACCTCGTCGCCGAACAGAGGAGTGGTGGAAGAGACGTGCTCGTTGTCTGCCATTTTTCTTTCTTCCCCAAACTGTCTTCTGAGGTGGAAAAAGTTTCAGGTCCAGCAATTTTCGGATAAGTTACCTCGTGTAACAAACTTCCACCCGGGGAAAAGCTGTGAAACCACGCCGGTAACTTCCTCCGGTATGTCTGCTCCTGACACCGGATAAAGTTGGACAAGTGCACCGCACGACAGACGAGTCGGACCCGAGTCTGAGATGGACACTGTGAAGTTGAGAAGGAGAGGAAGGGAACTCCGCTGACCAATTACCTGCGGGTTAACCCCTGAGTGACGTGTCCGTCAGCCAATCAGAGTGTGTCAAAATAGGGGCGGACCCCGCCCAGCAGAGTGGAGGTGTAATGGGACACCTCCTCCACCAAACCACCGCTAAAACTCAGGAGGAGCAGAAAGTTCACTCTGTTGTGACATAACTTCAGCTCCAGCAGGGCACTTATTACATAACTTTGACTTTTTATTTTTTACTCTAACTCCTCCGGCTACTGTCCAGCCAACACTTGTCAGACAAAGACCAGCAGTACTGCAGGAAGTACCCTGAAGTTTAGCAATACCATTATTTAAAATGTGTCTAGTAAAGGTCATACTTCAAAAGTTTTATCACACAGCAAGTCTCATTACATTCAAAGTTCACTGACTTTATACTGCATTTAAGCATTGGTGAAAAGTAACTGATTACATTTACTCAAGTACTTTAGCCTACTTCAGCAGCCTACAATTTTAAGGTACTTTTACTTTACTTGACTATTTTTATGCTACCTAGTAAGTAAAAGAAGAAATACCACACTGTAAAAATACTGTTTCTAGTAAAAGTTATGCACTCCAAATGTTTAAATTTTAAACTACATATAGATAAATGTAGCAGTGTAAAAAGTACAATCCAAAATGTAGTGGAGTAGAAGTATAAAGTGGCATACAATGGAAATACTTGAGTGTCTCTTTTTTTAGACTCCTCCTGCTACTGTACAGCCCACACATGTCATACAAAGTCACGCAGTACTGGAAGAAGTACTCAGAAGTTTTACTTTTGCACTAACATAAAGTAAACAATATTCCAGTCAAATTAAAAGTCATACTAAGTTTTATCAACACAAAAAGGCACACTTAAAGTATCAAGTTACTCATCACACAGTACAAGTCTCATTCCAAAGTCCACTGACTTTCAACTGCATTTCAGCAGTTGTGGATTGTAACTAATTACATTTACTCAAGTACTTTAGCTTACATCAGCAGCCTACAATTTTAAGGTACTTTAACTTATGCTAATTAGTTAGTAAAAGTAGCAACAGCACACTGTAAATGCTCTGTTTCAAATGTAGTGGTGTAAGAAGTACAATCCAAAATGTAGTGGAGTAGAAGTATAAAGTAGCATAAAATGAAAATACTTGAGTACAGTACCAGTAATTAAAAATTACTTCTTTCCTTTTTACACTCCTCTTGCTACTGTACAGCCCACACATGTCATACAAAGACAATCAGTACTGGAAGAAGTACTCAGGAGTTTTACTTTAGCATTACCATATTTCAAAAGTTTTATCAACAAACTATAGGCCCACTTAAAGTATCAAGTTACTCACCAAGTCTCACTGCAAAGTTCACTGACTTAAACTGCATGTAAGCAACAGTGAAGTGTAACTAATTACATTTACTCAAGTACTTTGGCCTACTTAAGTAGCCTACAGTTTTAAGGTACTTTCACTTTACTTGAGTATTTTGTATGCTACTTACTGAGTACACTCCTGCAACTGTACAGGCCACACATGTCAAAAAAAGACAAGCAGTACTGAAGGAAGTACTCAGAAATTTAGCAATACCTTTACTTAAGTACAAGTAACCTGAAAATTATATTCTTTTTACACTCTTTCTGCTGCTACACAGCCAACACAAGTCATACAAAGACAAGCAGTAATGGAGGAAGTACTCAGAAGTTTCCCTTTAGCAATACCATAATGTAAAAATACTTCACTTAAAGTCCTACTTAAGAGGTATTATCAACAAAATGAACTTTAAGTATCAAGTTACTCATCACACAGCTAGTCTCGTTCCAAAATTCATTGATTTTTTTCTGTGTTTAGGCAGTGGCGCTAATGAAAAAGCATCAATACCACAGTGAAAAAATACTTTGTTACAAGTGTGTCTGTCTTGTACTTAAGTACAACACTCAAATTAGTCTCTGTAGTTATTTCCACTACAGAACATGTGTTGCTGGTTTAACAAAAAAAGGGGAAAGTCAACATTCAGTCAATCAATCAATCAATCAATCAATCAATTTTATTTATAAAGCCCAATATCACAAATCACAATTTGCCTCACAGGGCTTTACAGCATACGACATCCCTCTGTCCTTATGACCCTCACAGCGGATAAGGAAAAACTCCCCCCAAAAAAACCCTTTAACGGGGAAAAAAACAGTAGAAACCTCAGGAAGAGCAACTGAGGAGGGATCCCTCTTCCAGGACGGACAGACATGCAATAGATGTTGTACAGAACAGATCAACATAATAAATTAACAGTAATCCGTATGACACAATGAGACAGAAAGAGAGAGAGAGAGAGAGATGCAGAACAGACGGTAATGACAGTAGCTTACAACAACATTAATGAAAGTAATAATATTATAATTATAGTTCTGGCTACTGTGGTACAATATGTTGAAAGTATATATTAATATTTGATAGTATACATATGTGACAATAATCATATGTGTATAATAACAGTAGAAGTATGACTAATGATAACAGCAGCAGCAGGAGGCATCTGGCAGGACTACGGCAGCAGCACAACCCACACGTCACACCATCCAGGCACCGCTGCGATATGAGTTAATCTGAGAGACAGTGGAGCACAAAGGCTCCGGAGAAGAAGCCGAGTTAGTGACATGCAGAATTGCCGAGTTAGCAAGATGCAGTAATAGAATACGAGAGAGAGAGAGAGAAAGAAGGAGAGAAGGTGCCTGGTGTATTATAGGGGGTCCTCTGGCAGACTAGGCCTAAGTCAGCCTAACTAAGGGCTGGTACAGGGCAAGCCTGAGCCAGCCCTAACTATAAGCTTTATCAAAGAGGAAAGTCTTAAGTCTAGTCTTAAATGTGGAGACGGTGTCTGCCTCCCGGACCGTAACAGGAAGATGATTCCACAGGAGAGGAGCCTGATAGCTGAAGGCTCTGGCTCCTGATCTACTTTTGGAGACTTAGTCAGGGGTGACAAACCACAGTTTCAGAGCTGTGTGCAGAACAATGCCGAATTATAGGAACCTGAGAATTGTAGCTGAATTGCACACGCTTGTAAAACTGGATGACATTCAATATTCTGACCAGCTTTAAAAAATGTACCTTAGACATCTGAACTTTGTTTTAAAAACATACAAAAACAGGTCACATTTTGATTTAAATCAGAGAAATATGTTCAAATGTCATTTTACTGCAGCATTCAGAAACACGAGATGCATTTCAGATACACAGTGAGTGTATGAGCTGCAGTCTGACTCGACAGAATATAGAAACACTCAGGATGTCCAGTATCTGGATCCAAGTGGGTCTGAGCAGGAACTGGACGCTTCCCAGTACAACCAGAGCAAGAGAAGCTCACTCTGTCCTCTAAACACCAGAGAGATAATGTTGTTTCAGAGCTACTCTTCAACAAACCAACAATAAGACAACCAAACAGCACAATTAAAAACAGATCACCAGAGTCAGTGGGATTCATCCTCTGAGGAACATGAATGTCTGTAAAAATATGTCAGGACAATCCATGACATGGCTGTTGAGATATTTCAGTCTGGACCATCTGACAGACAGAAATACAGCCATGACACTAGAACAGCTGAAAACTAAAAGCTGTCCAACCACACGTTTCCGTCTCACACCTAATTTTGTCTTACGTTCTGCAAATAATCTCAGTTTTTTCACATTCTCTGCTGCGTTCTGAAATCAATAAAGTTTCTTCACAGAATGCTGAAAGTGAAACTGTGAAGCACAGAGCTGCAGAGGCACAAGGAGTCGGCCTCGGCTTCAGTCTGAGACAGATACAGTAACACAGCATACTGATGACAGGCCAGAGTCTATATATAACATGTAAATATATATGTCTCTAAGTATATATGGAGCCGGCCAACATGATCATGTGAGACAGGGACGGTGAGAGGGTGGAGGGGAGACAGAGATGAGTCTGGTGACATGTTTCTGCATCAAACAAACAGCAAATGTATCGACTAACAAGTGCTGTGTGTGTGTGTGGTGTATCCTTGTCTGTTCATAGAGCTCCACTGTTGTTAGAAACACATCAGTGAGCCACACTGTCGCACATGTTCATCTCCACGACCACACACACTGTAGTCTATTTTAACTCAGTCCCACATACACCGTCCTGCTGCCACAAATACTCACCAGAGCACCAAACATGGATCAGTCCGCCACTGAAAATAGTCCCCAACAAATGCACTATTTCCTACTGCTGAAGTAACATTTGATTAGAAACCATAACAGCGTTGAAAGTGAGTTTATGTTCACTCTACTACATTTCAGAGGAACATAGTATACTTTTTACTGCACAAGATTTATCTGACAGCTTTAGTTACATATGATGAGCTTCTAAAATATAATGCGCTGTTACAGATTTAAAAGTCCAGTGTGTAGGACTTAGGGTTGACAGACAGAAATGGAAGATAACATAAAAAGTATGTCTTCTTAATCACATGAAAATGAGGATCTGTGTGGTTTCATCACCTTAGAATGAGTCGTTTATACCTTCAAAGGGAGTGGGTCCTTGTCTATAAAGATCGTAGTTAGCAGCCCCTCCACAAAAAGCAGAACGTGAAACTGCTTTATTCAGTGTTTTTAGCAATTTAAATCACCTGGTCTATTTGTTTCAGAGAGGTAGAGACCTCTGTGGATAATTCGGCTCGTGGTAAAAACATCCTGAACATCTGGATCTTAAGTTATCAGAAAATAAATGTGGGCACACATTAGTAAGTACTGGGCTAATGGCCTGTCTCAAACGAGCCGAACAGCATAGGAAAAACACTGATTTGTAACTCGAAACTGCTTTATTCAGTGTTTCTACCGGTTTAAATCACCTGGTCTGTTTGTTCTGGAGAGGTAGAGACCTCTGTGGATAATTTAGCTCCCAGTAAAAACCTCCCGAACAATGAACACTGAAGGAATTCTAACCAGAAGTTTCAGCTGGTTGTAATCTACAATCCTCACTGCTAGATACACCTAAAT